CCTACTATATATATATATATATATATATATATATATATATGGATATGGGAAAAGTTTAAAGTATAAGCAATATGAAACAGAAAATCTTTGGTTACCTGATTCCTCATTTTGATAATTTCTAGCAGCTTCCAAAATATTCTCATCAATGATATTGATGAATACATGTAATAAATTAGGTTACTGATGGTGTTCAGGATGTGGTCTTTGCGCACAAAGTCATTATTCTTCAATTTATGGTGCAGCAGGGATTGCTCAATAGTTGATTTTTCATTTGTTGATGGTAACTCTAGTATTTGTTCAATAATTACATGTGACCATGAGTGTGGTCAACAAAAACATCAACTTTTGTTTTTATCTTTAGAAGTTGGCTCCATTGAATCAATCAAGTTTGGCTTGATTCATAACTTTGATTGATCTCGTGGAACCATTGTTTCATTCATAAATAATGTCTCGAATTATTTGAAAATAATTCATTCATAAATAATGAGCCTGAGACATTGAGCAACGAGCCCAACCATGAGGAGGCTCATGGTTCTTTTGTGCCAATGCAAGTATCCAAAACATAGTTACCGGGGCGCCCAGCTAGGGTGGCGCTCTTGCTCTGGGACCCAGCTCCAACACTCCGTGGTCGGGATCTCATTCAGAACCCATTCTCAAAGTTTTGGGAGCTTGCTTCTATTTTTAGGAATCTCTATCCCATTCAGAATGGAGCTTGCTCCCACTATCTCACTGATCTCGCGTCCACTGTCTCACGAAACGTGTTCCCGAACAAATAAGATCCCCGCTTCCAGAATTTTAAGATCGCGATCCCTACATTCCCAGAATTCCATCCTTAGGGAGGATCCCACCATGAAAAAAATAGAGCCACCCACCATTAAAGTAGTAGGGTTATCAGTTAAAAAACGCGTAGAAATTCCCCCTCCAGGACTCAAAGCAAATATTCTAGCCCTAAATTCCAGATGGATAATTTTTTGGTACTCCATTAAAAATGTTAATTTGCTTTTCCAATCATTTACAACGGTTTTCATTTGAATTTCTCTAGAAAATCAGTCACCCAATTCCTGAATTCGTCAAGGCTAACTTTTATAACATATCTGAAATCTCCTTGTATATTCAGGCTTTTCATGGTTTCCCTGTAAAATTAATAGCTTCCCATTTGATTTCTTTGCGTCTTGTTTGAGTTTTTCTAAAAAATAAAAGAGCTTGGATTCTTCTCCTCTTCTGTCAAGGATATTACCACGTTTCATAACCATGGAGTTGCCTGCAACCCAGTGAATAACTTTTTATCGAAGATTTTAGCCATTTTTCAGAGCTTTGTTTGTCCTTTTGGAGATCGCCATGGAGGTCCCCAACTGCTAGCAAGCGAGGTTGAGATGGGTATGTAGATTTTTGTTGCTGTTGTGCTCTATGAGGAGAGAGAAAGAGTCCACTCACTGTAAAGTTAGATGAATGTGTTCATGAAGTTAGAGAGTGAGAGAGAGAGAGAGAGGCGCATTTTGGCAGATGGGTCCATTGGATTAGGGGTGGTACGGAGGCTAAAGAAGTGGTGAATGTTTGGTCAAGAGAGAGAGAGAGACAGAGATAGAGAGAGTAAGAGAGAGAGGACATGTGGAGATTGGCTCCAAGTTAAGCAGAATGCGATCCAACCTTGAATGGAGCTCGATCCATTCCAAATAGGAACACATTTTTATTAGATAGGGGCACGACTCAACTTTAAATGGGATTCCGTTCCTGTTGTTTATGGGAGTGCGATCCTCATGAACATGAGAACATGACCCCATTTTACATGGAACACCTTCCCGTTATATAATAACCTCGATCCCAATGTATTGGGAACACGCTCCCTATGTATACGAGATTTCGATCCGCAACTTTTAGCCTCATCGGAACTCGCTTCCCGAGCTCCGGAGCTTTAGGCAGCCTTCAATCTGACGCTTCCGCTCTCAAAACTGTAGCCGTTCCCGTTCTCGCTCGCGCTGCCGGTAACTATGATCCAAAATACAAACATATACCCTTGCGACTGCTGGTGCGAGGCTTCGAGTGTTCAACAAGAGAGGCGTACCATCCCTTTGGTTCTATGATCATGAGTGAGGGGAGTACTCTCTACATATAAACATACATGACTGCCTCTTCTCCCTCCGTCGAAGGGGGATACACCGCTTTCACTGCGCAATGCAAATACTATAATTCGTCAAAAATATATATTTTTTGAGATAATGCACGCCATGGCCTTTCCACGTCAGCTATCAATAATATAATTATATAATAATAAAAAGAAAAATGATTGTATATCACCCCGCTACAAATAATGGCGTGGGACCCATAACGACACCGTCCATCTTAACTCGTATCTCCGGTTAAAATTTAACGAGTTCTCCACCACCTTTCTCTCATTACAGCAAAAATATGGCTTCCATTATACATAGCGCTGGTGTAGAATATGGTTTCTACTCTAATGGCTTCCACTCCAACCTCACAATTGACACGTCAGCGCAGACGAACGCTTTTTTTGTCGTTGTCCCAATGGGAAAGAAATATAGCCTAGATAAAACCCCTCACTTCTCTGAGCGCCTGCGCCGCCTTACTCCACTACTGACTCGGGCAAAGGGGCTCTTTCTCTCTCTCCCTCTGCAGCCTTGCTGAACTGCGAAAATACTTGCCGATCATTAGGGTTTAGTGACGCAGCAGTTGCAGAGGTTGGTTTAGAGAGAGAACGCTTCATTAGAGAGAGAAACAAGAGAAGATGGAAAATCTGGCTCTTACTCTGCCCGTGGCCCGGCTGGTGCCTGGATCACCGAAGGTTTCACCTCTTGGAGGTTTCTCCTCTGTCAAGCTTCTTCAACGTCCTTCGCCATTGTCTCTCAAGGTGCTTTTCCTTCATTAATTTTCTCCATTAACTGATTTATTGTTGTAATGAGTTGTTTTTTGCTTGCATTTTGTTTGTGGATCTAATGTTTTTGCTTGTCACTTTGATGAAAATCTTGGTATAAGAGTACTCTTTTCTTTATTCTCAGTAGTTCACTTTCTCTGGGTGATATTTGTAATGGTTATAGACAGCATCAAAAAAAATTGTAATGGTTATAATAATGATGATGAAAAACAATATAAAAAAGAAAAAAAAAAAAAAAGAAGAAAAAAAAAAGAAAAGAGGGAAAAATATATTCTAAACATTGACATATTGTTTTGCTCTCTCCTCTACTGCATCCACTATAGGCCCTTCTGCCCGACTCCTCCCATCCTTCGGCTTCTTTCCCCCGAATGTAACATCTTCTTCTAGACTCTTTCCCCCCATTTCTTCTCTTACCCTTCTCTTTTCAGCACCTATTTCCTCTTCTGGCTCACCCCCCTCTCTTCCCCTTTTCTCTCCCCTCTTTTCCTTTCATTTTCAGCTAGCTTGTAAGGGAGAACTACTGTGGTGCGAGGGACAGATGATGTCTTAGCTCCTTCCCCTCAACATCTCTTGGCTTGGTAGTTCGTCAATGTACAGTTTGGTAGGCTGGAGGCATTCCAGCTCCTGAGAGTAGACCCAGCAATCTCCTTCCACCCCGACTGGTCATGCCTTCCACCCCTCTCTCTCCCGGCCCTGAAGCATGTACCTCCTCGGTTTTGGACACCCAAATGCTATCCAGCTCCTGAAGAAACTGCATTTAGGCTGGAGGTATTCCCGCTCCTGAGCACCAGTTGTGGACCCAGCAATCTCCTTCCACCCGACAGGTCACCCTTCTCTCTCCCGGCCCTGAAGTATGTACCCTCTCGGTTTCGGACACCCAAATGCTTTCCAGCTCCTGAAGAATAGCATCCTCCTGCATCTTACTTTCTTTAGCCCCTAACCCTCTTCTGCATAGTTACCTTCTTTTTTGTATTCCTCCTTACCCTTTAGCCTTTATTCTTCCTTTGCCTTATGTACTTTGTGCACCTGTTTAGAGGGTCACACCTTTTTCTCTTCATTTTTCAAGTTCTTTCAGTTCCTTATTTTTTTTCCTCTTCTCCCTATGTGCTATGAGCACCTATCATGTGGTTGTCGATTGGCCACCTCTTGTAGATCTATGTTCTTTTGTTTGTTTTAACAAAGTTAACCAATTGGGAAAAAAAAAATGATGATGCACTGTTTCTGTTGATTATTATTATTATTATTTTTATAATAATAATAATAATACTAATAATTAGTATTATTATTATTTTTATAATAATAATAATAATTAGTATTATAATTATAATAATTATTATTATTGTTATTAATTTTACTTTGACTTGGTTGCGGAATAAAAAATCTAATTTTTAATGGAAAACTGAAAGTCTAATTTGTAGTTAGATTTCTTCTCCATTACAAGTGTAAATGGACTTGTAAGCTACTTAAAATAATTAGCAACATAGTCATTTTGAGTGTCTGAACCATAATTAACAGAGATTCTCTGCTTCGTATTTGTAAAATAATTGGAGAAAGTGATGAATGTATGAGTTAAACGAAAGAGTAAAGAAAATATGGGAAATACAAAATATATCCAGATAGTGGAAAATTTGATCATTGTTGTCAGGGTCAGATTGGAGGTTGAAATGGTGAGGCACGAATTCAGTAAGACCTGCCCGCCTGAACTTGTTCATTGGTCAAACCCGGGAAAAAAATAGAAACATAAAACAAAGCAAAAAAATGTAAAAAATTGAGAAAACATGGAAAAAACTATAGAAAATAGAGAAAAAATAGAAAATTTTAGAAAATTATCAGGAACAAAAAGAAAATTATAACACACCACGTGTCCATATCTCATGAAACACTCAAATATCTCACCAAGCAATAACAATGAAATTGAAGGGAGAAGTTCATAATACATAACATGAACCATGAGGTCGAGTTAAAAAAAAAGGAAATTTTCTCAGTACCCTCTAGTTTTGGCAACCATTTCTCAGGAGATCCAAGGATCCAGAATATTTATGGCGGCGTAGGGTCTCTATTTTTTTATCCTCCAACCCCCTTTGGCCATGTATTTTTTACCCAAAAAAAGGTAAAATGACACCCTCTTAACAAACCCTATTTTCTCCATTAACCTCTCCATATGTCTCTCACTCAAAACACTCTCTCTCTTTCTCTCAAAACTCCGTCCCTCTCTCAAATACCAAAAACACCGTCTCCCTCTCTCTCTCTCTCTCTCTCAAAGCACCATCTCTCTCTCTCTCTCTCAAGACGCATCTCTCTCCTCTTCCTCCCCCATGGCTGAAATCCCATAAGCCTTAATTTAACTGATCCAGTTTCAATTGAAGCTAGATTTGTAAGCCCCTCAATTGTGATCAAGTATGAATTGATAGGGTTTGAGCTTCTTTTGTCGGGGAGAAAACCTGGAAAAGCTTATTTCTTACACGTTATGCGAGCAAATTCGAATTTTGTGCTGCTGATCAAGAAGGGAAACCTCGCTTTAGTTTGAATTGAGCCAGGAGTTTTAGCTTTTGAAATACCAGGAAGAAGGACCCAACCTCAATTATGAGTTTGTTGGTAAGAAAAGGGTTTCGCAGGCTTGAATTAAGCTCTGGTGATGATTAGATGGGTTAATTCATGCCCCAACATTAATAAATCCAATTTTGATCTAGCACAAATCAATCTATCATTTTGGAATTTCAATCACACAGGGAAGAGGAATAGGTGTGCCTTAAACCGTATTTCTATCATCTCTTGTCTAGAAGGAATTTCAGATGAAAAAAAAGGGTTAGGTGCTTGAGAGAGAGAGAAGCATCTTTTCATAGAGAGAGGAGAGAGACGATGTAGAGAGGGGCACTTTGTGCAATTGAGCTCAGTTTGAGTATTTGAGAGAGAGACGGAGTTTTCAGAGAGAGAGAGAGGGTGTTTTGGGTATCGGGGAGAGAGATGGTGTTTTCGTAGAGAGAGAGAGGGTGAATGGATTACGGAGAAGAAAAAGATTTGTTAAGAGGGTGTCATTTCTCCCTTTCTTTGGGTAAAAACTATATGGTCAAAGGGGTCCAGGGGGTTGAGGACAGAAAAGATAGAGACCCTATGCCGCCAGAAATATTCTGAACCCTTGGGTTTCTTGAGAAATGGTTGTCGAAAATTGGGGGGTACAAAAGAATTTTCCCCAAAAAAAATACACAAGATTATAACTAGGGAACCGTGTCCATATATGAACAGTCTCTAGCCTCCATACTTCAATTGAAGTATTAAACAACCAAAAATAAAATAAGTTAAGTGGAATATGGTAAGGCCTTCAAGCGCAGCATTGAAGAGTGTCACTTAGTTGGAGGATGTGTTTGGGGTATCTGGCTTTCAGGTATTCTAATGAGCAGTTCCTATTGAAGTGCTTGCAATTCTTGTCTCGTCTTTTGTCTTGTTACCTTCACCTTTTTGATTTCTCTATACTCATATTTTCTCTACTTCCTTCGACCTCTATTTTCTTTCTTTGCATTCCACCTCTTTCTTTCTCCTCTCCCTCTATCACCCTCTATTCCCATGTCAGTGCTATCTTCCTCTTTTTTTGTGTTCTCCCTTGTAGAGCTCCTGACATCATGTGTTCTGCCTATGACCTCAATACTAGCTTCAAATTTTATATCGAGACCTGTGGGATGCCTTTTGATCTTTCATATACCTGGAGCACCTATTTTGTGGGTTGCTGTCAACCTTACCCCTCGTGACCTTTTATACTCCTACTATTACATGTGTATATACATATATCATCACCCTTTCAAGAAAAAAAAAGAAAAAAAAGAAAAAGAAAAAGAAAAAGAAAAAGAAAAAGAAAAAGAAAAAGAAAAACAAGTAATTGAAATAACAACACATTTATATACCAAAAAATGTACAAAATCCACAAAATAAGCAACACTATGATGTTTAATTGCTAAAGCCTAAAGAACCTTTAGAAGGAATGCAAGAAACATCTCATTGAAAGTCATTTAAAATGAGGAGCTGAGGAGTGAAATGATGCAAGGGATATCTTGGGAAGATGATTATACACAAAGAAAATGTAAATAAATGAAGGTTGTTTGTTGGATATTTACGTTAGCACTTTGTTTGTTCATGAAAAGGCAATATGTAACAGTGCTACAACTACATATGTGGATCATAGTTGTCGGAGGCCGGGCGGGTCTAGGAGTAGGATCCATTTGGGGAATGTTGAACTGCATAGGGTAGCTCCTTGGGTTTTGATCTATGTTCGTACATTTTATAAATTAAGGAGCTAGATCCTAGGATACCTCAGAGCAAGATCTCATATTATTGGGATCGAGGTTTTCACTTGGAGGATCTAAGATGAACCATACATAAAACAATTAACAATATATGATATAACTAGATCCATCATCACACACACCTTAGCTTATTACCAATGACATAACTATAGTACTTGAATTTACCACCTCGATCCATCCATCACACACACCTTAGCTTATTACCAATGACATAACTATAGTACTTCAATTTACCACAATAATACAGTTCAATAATATCATAAATTGGCTTACTATGTTATTAAACTGTAGTTTTTTAATGCCATAATTCTGGCTTAGCACAATATGATATGCACCGGAATTAAACGTATTCCAAAGAAATAAATTTATAATAAGGAGAGGAACCGTAGTTTAATTAATTGTATAGCTCCTCTCCTTGGAGGGATCCTACAGGCATGTAGACCGAGACCCCATTTTGTAGGGAGAGAGATCCCTATTTCTCTAAGCCTAGCTCCGCCTAAGATCCCTCAGAGGAGCTCCGGGATCTAGTTACTAAGGTGGGGCCGTGGCCTTACCCCCGACGTTCCCGCAACTATGATGTGGATAAACAATAATTGTATGTGGTTTGAGGATACAAGTGATTAACAAGGTTAAAGTGCATCATACAACCTGGGGATTTTGGCTACTGCTGCATTTGTGTGCCGTGAAAGAGGGTCCATGTCAAATAGCATCAATATGTGCCTGCTTCTCTGTAATTATTGCCAAATTGTCTTTCTATTTTTTATAAAATGGGTATTGGACCTTGTTCCCACGGATATGTCTATGGCATGCCTTCGTTACTAAGAGCAACAATTTTCCACAATGTGCAAATTCATCATTAGCTTTGACTTCTGGGGATAAATTTGCATACTTTTGGCATTGGGTTTTTCTTTAATGAACTAGAATTGTTTTGACTTTTAATTAGAAGTTAAGTTTTGAGGATTGAGGCTCTGTTGGATTGTTCTCTGGCTAATGATCCTTCATGTGGCCCCTAATTGAGTTCTCAACCATTGAATTCACAAATGTCTGGAAAAGGAGCATATGGCAGGTTTACTCCAACACATAAACAAAAATTCAATTGGCATTTTTATGGCAATACTTGGCATGCGTCACCATGAAATCATCATGAATGTATGTCGAATGTTTTTTTTTTTCCATGTATTTTTACTTCCACTTGTAATAAGAGTGTATTTTTCATTTCTTGTTAATAGTTGAACAACATTATTTGATACTTGATTGTCATTCTTGGACTATAAAGTATGAAATTGTGCTGCAAGTGAAAGGATTGACTATGTGGAACTCAAGGTATCAAATTGATTTTTTTTTTTTAATTCAATATACTTGAATTCCACTTATATGGGCCACTATTATGTTACTGTAAATTAAAATAAAATCCTAGATTGTATCTAGGATATTTATTTTCACTGCCAAAAGAAATAGAAACTATCTGGGAGTTTTAAACAAACTTTCACTATAATTTTTTGTACAATATAAGTTCCTGAAAATTCACAAAAAAATATGAAATAATACTGGAAATTAATTTAAACTACTCGGAAGACTACTGGAAGATGCCTGGAGTTACCCTCACAGGTCTTGGTACACGCACTCCTGATTCCTTGGTCGGTGATGCACTTTTACTCTTTTAGGTGTTGCTGAAAATTCTAAAATAGGAAGCTACTTAGGCAATATTTCTTTCTCTAGGGTTTTAGACAGCTCAAAAATCCATCTAGGGTTTGGCCATAGGAACATACTAGAGCAAAGATTGATGGTTTTTTCTCTCTTAGCTGGTAGTACCACTCTTCCTTTACAAAATCAACAAACCTCACTTAGGGTTTGAAAAGTCTCACCTTTTTTTTTTTTCTTAGATAGAAGTTTCTCAAAATAAGAGGAGAGAGAGGATGGCGTGCCTCCCTATGGGGTAAAGAGGGGGGAGGCACGTAACTTCAGTTTTTTTTTTGAAAGAGAAAAGTGCGTGGAGAAGAGAGAGAGAGAGAGAGAGAGAGAGAGAGAGAGAGAGAGAGAGAGAGAGAGAGAGAGAGAGAGAGAGAGAGAGAGTAGTAGTAGTGTAGTAGAGAGTAGTTACTTTACTTAGTAGTAGTAAGTAAACTAAACGTTACGTATTAAGTAAGTAGT